TCCATGCGGGCAGCGGCCATGGGGGAGCAAAGCTGGGCTCCTGGGGGCTTGGGGCAGGGGCCTGGGATCGGGGCAGGGGTTTTGGAAGACGCTGGACTACGGGGGAACAGCCCTCCCAGGTAGGAGCCGGCTCCGCTGACCCCCTCCCCGGGTTAAACGTTGAGGTTTGGGGCAAAAGAGTCGAGGTTTTCAGCAAAACCAGTTGAGGTTTGGGGCGAAACGATCGAGAATTGGGGCGAAACGATCGAGATTTGGGGCAAAACGTTGAGGTTTGGGGAAAACAGTGGAGATTTTTTGGCAAAACCTGTTGATATTTCCAGCAAAATGGTCAAGATTTGGGAGAAATGGTTGAGGGTTTGGGCTGAAGGTTGAAGTTTTGGGCAAAACATTGAGTTTTGGGGTAAAACCAGTTAAGGTTTAGGCCAAATGATCAATGTTTGGGGGCAAACGGTTGAGGTTTGGGGCAAAAATGGTCAAGGATTGGGGCAAAATGGTCGAAGTTTGGGGCAAAACCAGTTGAGATTTGGCCAAACGTTGTGGTTTGGGGCAAAAATGGTCGAGGTTTGGTGCAAAATGCTCAAAGTTTGGGGCAAAACCAGTTGAGGTTTGAGGCAAATTGTTTGAGATTTGGGGCCAAATGCTTGAGATTTCGGGCAAAACGTTCAAGGTTTGTGGCAAAACGGTCGAAATCTAGAGCAAATGGTTGAGGTTTGGAGCAAAAACGGTCAAGATTTGGGGCAAATAGTCGAGGTTTGGGGAAAAACATTGAGGTATGTGGGGAAAACACTGAGGTTTGAGGCAAAACAATCGAGGTTTGGGGCAAAAGCAGTCAAGGTTTGGGGCAAATGGTTGAGGTTTGGGACAAGACTCTGGGTTGGCCATGGAAACCCAGGGCTGGGTGCAGGGTTTGGGGGAGATTTGAGCACCCAGTGTGGGGATGTTGGGGCGTGGTGCCAGGGTTGGTGCCATCACCACCAGCAGTTTTCGCGCAGTAGTAGGTGGCCGTGTCGTCGTCCCTGAGGTTGCTCATCTGCAGCGTGAGCGTGCTCCGGGAGTTGTCCCTGGAGACGGTGAAGCGCCCTTCCACCGCCGGCGCGTAGATTGTGCCACTACCATCCTTGTGAACATCCGTGAAGAAGTCAAACCCCGGCACATAGTCTCTGCTACTTCCACCACTGGTAATAGCTGCGACCCACTCCAGCCCCTTCCCAGGCGCCTGTCGCACCCAGAACATGGCGTAGCTGCTGAAGGTAAAGCCGGAGGCCTGGCAGCGGAGGGTGAGGGACCCCCCGGGTTTCTGTTCACCCCCTCCGGACTCGACCAGCTGCACGGCCGCCCGCAGCCCTGGGGAGGGAGGAAGGACAGAATTCAGTCAACCGCTCCCGGCATCGCCCGCCCAAAATTCATCCGCGCCCGGGGAGGGGGTCAGCGGGGCCGGCTCCTACCTGGGAGGGCTGTTCCCCTGTAGCCCAGCGTCTTCCAAAACCCCTACCCCAGCCCAGACCCCTGCCCCCAGCCTACACCCTTGGATCCCCTCCTGACCCTTGGCCCCAGCCCACAATTCCTGCACGGCCAACCCAGAGCCTTGCCCCAAACCTCAAATCTTTGCCCCAAACCTCAACACTTTGCCCCAAACTTCAACACTTTGTCCCAAATCTCGACCCTTTTTGCCCCACGCTTTCACTGTTTTGCCCCAATTCTCAAACATTTTGCTCCACATCTCCACTGGTTTTGCCCCAAACCTTAAACATTTGCCCCAAACCTCAACCGTTTTCCTGAAAACTCAACCATTTGCTCCAAACCCTGACTGTTTTGCCCTAATACTCAACGTTTTGCCCCAAACCGCAACTGTTTCCTTCAAACCTCAACCGTTTGCCCCAAACCTCAACCTTTCTCCCTAAATCTTGACCGTTTTGTCTTAAACCTCAACGTTTTGCCCAGGGAGGGTGTAAGCGAGGCCGGCTCCTACCTGGGAGGGCTTTTCCCCCATTGCCCAGCAGCTTCCCAGAGCCCCTGCCCCCAGCCCAGGCCGGTGCCCCCAGCATCGCTGTTCTGCGTTGCACTCAAGTCCCAGCCTTCCAGCATCCCGGGGTCGACCCAAACCCCTGGGTCCGGGTGCCGGGGGCAGGAGCCGGGCAGGGGAGCCGAGGCTGGGGCGGGGAGCTGGGGGTGGGCAGGGCTCTGGGCATGGAGCAGGGATTTCAGGTGAGGGGCAGGGGCTGCGGGAAGGAGGTGGGAGGTTGGGGTGCAGGGATGATTGGGGCAAGGATTTGGGGACAGTGCTGGTATTTGGGTAGCAGGGATACTCAGGACAAGGATTTTGGGGAAGATGCTGAGATCTTGGGATCACCCAAAGCGTCCTGGCTCTGTGCAAAGGGTTCCGGGAAGATGCCGAGATGTGGGGGATGCTGCCGGGGTTGGTGCAACCACCACTAGGAGGGTCATGGCCCCCCCAGGTGTCTGGAGGCCCCCTCCGGACTCGACCAGCTGCACGGCCGCCCGCAGCCCTGGGGAGGGAGGAAGGACAGAATTCAGCCAACCGCTCCCGGCATTGCCCACCCCCCCGCCAAAATTCATCCGTGCCCGGGGAGGGGGTCAGCGGGGCCGGCTCCTACCTGGGAGGGCTCTTCCCCCATTGCCCAGCAGCTTCCCAGAGCCCCTGCCCCCAGCCCAGACCCCCGCCCCTTGGGTCCCCTTGCTGCCCCTGCTCTGGACATGGCCCCCCCCCAGCCAAAACTCTTCTGTACATCAGGGACCAGAGCTGGACCCAGCATTCCAGGAGGGGCCGGGCCAGCGCTGGGCAGAGGGGGGTGATGGCTCCTTGATCCCTGCTGGCGATGCCCCTCTTGATGCCCCCCAGCACCTCGAGGGCTTCCTTGGCCGCAGCAGCCCCCTGCCCGCCCCTATGGAGCTTCCCGGGGGTTGGGCTGCTGCACCCTGCAAGGACCTGGGCACCCTGCAGGGCTCCGGGCTGGGGACCAGGGTGCGGAGTGGGGGCAGGAATTGTGGGCTGGGGGCAAGCGATTGTGGCTGGGGGCAAG